TGGACTATCACCAGATCGCACCATGCTCATAATTGTTGATTTATGTTTAGAGCATGTACTTCTTGGTTTTTTTCCTCCATCATTACTGTACAACGAATCAGAAAACTTATTTATAAAAATATCTTCTTCTAATAAAGATAAAATAAAAGGCTGTTTAATATCTTCAAAGTCTTTATCACTTTGATCATCACTTTCACTTTCCTTTAAAAGAATTAAAATTCAAATACAAATAAGATACAGCAGTTTTCATTAAAGTTTATTTTAAACCAAAAGTAAATTAGTTGTTAAAATTCATACCCTGGAACTTATCATTTTTCATAATTGAGTCTTTTTCAGGTGTTAAAACTATTTTCTGAAAAAGTTTGAAAACAATAAATTAAAAACTGCAGTATTTAAAAATTTTTGATTTATAAATTTTTTTATAAGTTTTATAATTAACAGAATATGAAAAAATTATTTTAAAATGACGTGGAACTTGCTGAAGTACAATCTTTTACAGGCAGAATACCTCTCCTTTTCATATACTCTTGAGCCAACCAATCTTCATCTTCTGAACTGTAAAGAAAATCTGCCCCTTTTCTAGAAATTTCTGATGTAAAAAACCATTCTTGTTTTGCCTTTGCTTCTGAATCTGTAAAAGATTCACTATCACTTGTCTCTGATAAAGATAAATCTGAATCAGGAGAAGATAAATTGTTTCTCAATCTTTCAGAAACAATTTCCTCATCCTCATCAGGAAAATCTTCTAATAGTGGACAGGCCTTCAATAAGTACCTTTTAACTCTTTCTTTATCAAGTTTGTGATACTGTTTCAAATGATTTTCGAGACGTTTTGGAGCCAAAGCACATGAAAACATAGGGCACTGGCGTCGAACATACTTTCTCTTTTTATAACTTTCACTTACACTTTTTTTCGTGATGTTAAGACCAAAATTTACACGGGCTGCTTTAGCTTGAGCTTCATCTAATTTATGCACGGACATCATATGTCGTTTTAAATTTACAATAGGTCTGATAAAAGATTAAATGCAGTTTTTAAAAAAATATTTAAATTGATAAAAAGTTCATTAAAAACAACTAAAAGTTTAGTCTACCTATCGCAATTTGGACATTTTACTTTTCGTCTTTTCAACTTTTGATTGTGATCTAAACTATCTTTAATCAATTTTTTAGCACTTTCATTTTTCCAGCTTGTTAAAGCCTAAAGCAATTTAAATTTATAATTTAATTGATGATTGAATATAACCGTTTTTCTATCAAATAAAATTTTCAAAAATCTAATTATAACCTTTTCAACCATGTCAATATTATTCAAAGCTAACCCTTTTTCCATTTTGCACTTTACATAACCTAGAATACTAAATGACAAATATACATAACAAAAGTTAATAATAACATTAATTACTCATTCATGTAAAAAATCCAGAAGTTCATTACACATAAATTTAACAAACCAATAAATCTGCGTTTTTTTTTTCCACATGTATAGTTATTTATACTTTTAACAGCTAAAAACTTTTAGCTGTTAAAAGAATAGTTTACTGGTGCAAAGTAGATCCTGAAACAGTTTTAACCAAAAATTTCCTCACAGATCCTTTTTTTAATCGCTTAATGATGTAATGTTATCACATAATACACATTTAATTGGTAATAGCATATACATATATATATATATATATATATATATATATATATATATATATATATATATATATATATATATATATATATATATATATATATATATATATATATTAATATTTATATATTCATTATATTTTTCTGAAAAAGTTACAAAACAATGAGATTACAGTAAAAATTACTAATAAATACTAGAGCACTGCTAAAATTATTATAGATTTCTAAAACTTCATTAAAAAATCCCATTTTAGACAAACAAAATTATCTTTCTAATTATTTTTTGAATTTTTATAAAGTAAAATGCATATACCATCCTGTGGATCAATTATATAAGACCTGTCCTTTAATTTTAAGGTCGTAAATGGTTTCTAAAGTCATTACAAACCCAGGTTGACAAATCAAATGAAGGCCCAAGATATGAATGGCCCAAGAAGTAGTTATATAAGTGGGTCAAGGAGCATGAAACCTGGACAGAAGAAGATTTAAACAAAGTAAGGATACAGATACCTTTTTATTTTTAATTTCTGAACATTTTACTGGCAAGATATGATTTTAAATATGAGAATGTCACAAGTGCCAAATATTCAATTTTTGTTTAAAGAGTCACTTCTCTTTTAGAAGATCTTTTCTGATAAGTCCATATATGCAGTCTTAGATGACAGAGTCTAGGCAGTTTAAAGAAAGTCAGGAGTAGAGGAGAGTAGAGAGTAGGAAGAGAAGAGGAGGAGAGTAGAGAGTAGGAAGTAGGAAGAGAAGAGGAGTATACCTGACTGCTTGAAGAAGAATGTAAAACTTCCAATAAAGATCATGGCCTGGGGGAGCCCTATCTGTGTATAAGTTGACTACACATAGTTGATGGGACAATTTACCAGAACAAGTACATCAAAGTAGTAGAAAGGTCGTCTAGTTTTCAAGCCAGGGAGTGGTTTGGTGATAGAGAATCGATTTTTCAACAGGATAGTGCTCCATGCTACACTGTAAAAAAAAATCATAAAATCACAAGAATGTAAAAAATGGTTTGCAAAAAGTTCTTTAAAAGTACTTAAATGGCCCAGAAACTCCAGACATGATTTTAATTAAGAACAACTAAAAGATGAGATCCAAAATCCAAAGTTTGATTTTGTCTATGCCTATTCATGTTAATTCCCTTAAATTGGTTTAAGGTGGCCAAACAAAGTACTGAAATGTTAGGTGAACTATTTAAAAGAAATATAAAATATGTTCTTATGACTTATTCATGAAAATATAGCAAATATATTGAAATTTTGAAAAATCAATTATAATTTTAGCAGCACTGTATTTTATCAATGAAAGAAGTTTTTATTTAGATTTGCTATTACTTGTTATAAGTTTACAGGATGAAATGTTATTCAATTAACAATAATTATACAATAATTTATTATATTATATTAACATTTTCAAACTATTTTACCTATTTCCATCACTACATTCTGGGTTCATCTAAATTTAAATGTTGCAAAATTTTAAAACTTTAAACAATTAAATTATATAAAATAATATAATAAATAATTAAAAAAATTATTATAAATAATTAAATAATAAAAAGATAATATTTTGAATCTTTGTTTGAATGTTGATGAAAAAAAAGTAACAATATTTTTAAATTTCATTTTCATTGTATACTTTTATTTCAAACTATAAAAGTTTGAACTTATGCCACATGTAAGTTGCTATTTCTGTTGCAAAACAATAGATTAATAGATTTTTTTTAGAATATAGTTAAAATGCTTTTTAGTAAACTTAAGATAGTGTAACTTTACTATTAATGCTATTTGGTTTTTAACAAATAACTCATGAAAATTTTATGCTTATATTAGCATAAAATCCGATAGGTTTCAGAAGTTCAGTCCAGGAGGACATTGCCTTTTTTAAATAAAGTGAGTGTGGTGCGCACTTTTATCTTCTAATTTTATGACAAAAATTAACCATTAATTTCACTAATTTTGTGCAAGAACATCATTTAATATTTTCTTAAATGATTCTTATAATATTTATTTAAACATTTTAAGAAACATTTTTGAATAAGTTAAGTTTATTTATAGTTAAATAAATTACAAAATGTCAAAAACATTGTTGAAAGAGCATATGAAAGATAAGAGGATAAAATTTTAACATTAATTAAGTTACTAACACTGAGTACAGAAGTTTCAAGAGTGGATTTCTCACAGGTTTGAACATTTTCAATTACAAAGTCAATATTTTCTAAATTAAATGTTATAAACTATTAATTATTTTGTAATAACTATTATATACATTAACTTCTAAATCAGAAAATAAAAATTAAAAACCGTTGGCATGATTATCAAATATTTAACTGCAATGAAAATATAAAAACATGTCACTTCTACTCTTACATGTTCACTTATGCAGTTTACATACAGCACTGGAAATAATTATTTTACTTTTTCAACAAATAAAATTTATACCTGCTAACAGAATAGATGAATAATTATTTGGCACTGGACTTTCTGATTCTATCATCATCTAACATAAATATCCAAGAATAAATAAGTTTGAAATTTAAATAAATTTTTTTAATTAACATATTTTTTACATATATATTTATATATGTATGAAATTTTATACATGAATAATTTTTCAGATTTTTTTTATTCAAATATCTAGAGATCTTTTTTAAGTTAGGTCTTTATATTAAAAATTATATAAAAACTAATTCAATTTTTGTATCTCAGCAAATCGTAATACCTAAAAGAAATACATGAATTACAATATTTTCGTGATTGGAGTTAATGGAGTGTTTGCTGAATGTAGTGGAATAGTGGTCCCCTGCCTATTTAGTAATGGCATTTTAGTTACTCTATTAAAATGTGTTCAAAAAAACAAACTTAAATTACAAAAACAACAATATACGATTTGTGGGTTGATACAAAAAATTTTAAATATTGATTTTCAACATTTTCAAACAGCAAAACTTGACTTACACTAACACTTTGATTATCATTAGAAAGCTGTTGCTTGCCACAGTTTGTGATTTTAACATTGCAGTGGTCAATATTATCTGGTGAATTCATAAAATAAAACTTTAGAAAAAAGATTGAGTTGTACTTCTAATAAATATTGAGCAAACTTTTATTCCTTAAGTTTAATAGGAATTAAAAATAAAAGAAAAAAATTTAAAATATTTAATTTTACCTTAAAAAAAAAAAAAAAATTAGTTATGAAAGAAATTTCTAACCTGAAATACGATTTTCTGTGTCTAAAGTTCTTACAAAATTCTAGAAAATTATTTTCATTTTAGTAAAGTTAACAAACTTATATTAGTTAACATAAATTTTCAAAAAGAAAAAAAAGTAAAAACTTTACATACATCCACATTTGTCAATATTAATGGTCTTTTGTAAATAGACTAATAACAACAGAAATAAATAAAAAAGTTTTAATAAATGTTTTTGATTATTATAAAACCATTCTTAATCCAAATAATTTACTCAATGAATAATAGCAAAATGTTACAAAAACTTTATAAATAAAATGAACCTGCTTTCGCCAAGATAATCCAGATGTTTCCCCATAGCTATATCTATAAATTTGTACTGATTGAATATCATTGAGAAAAAATTTTTTTTATTATTTTGAGAGAAAATAAATTATTGCTGATATCTCACCGTAATTCTGTAAACTTTGGAATATCTTTTGTTGAAAAAAGACATAAATGAGGAACATTTCTCTCAGAAACAATAAGATGGTGAACTATCATTGACAAATTTTCCCATTCGAGAAGAATATGTTCCATCAACACTATGAGAAAATTAATAAATTAGATTTACTTTTAAATTTTTTTATTTGTTTTAAGCACATTTCAAAATTACATACCAGTACTGTTTACCATTGAAAGAAAAAAAATAAATAAAACATCCCAGATTATTTTCCTCTGCAAAACTTTGCCTATTTTCTCCTTCATAATGTTCAACAAGTTCACCGGGATATTCTAATAGAAATGATCCCTTTGGAATATCCATGTTTGCAAAAACTCCAAAACCTAAGTAAATTAATTAATTATTTACTATTTTTATATTCAGTTTAAAAAGTAAACACTGAAAATGCAAAAATTAATTGTTATTAAAAAAAGGTTACAAGAACTCTTAGATCAAAATTTTATTTTAATTGTAATATGTTGAGAATGCTATTTTATTCACAAATACTTTTTAAAAATAAGCATGACTAATAACAGCATTGATTAAAAAACAAGCATTTTTTTAGGCTTTTTACTAAAAAATTTAATAACTACTTAAACTAAACTTATGGATTCATCGTGTAGAAAAAAAAAAGACTAATAACACTAAATAAGTTATGAAATATAATAGAATTGAGGGATAAAAAGAGAACTTTTCTGTTTGCCTAACACTGATTTAAAAGAAGAAGTTTTGACATTGAGTAAAAAAATTGTTTATTTTTGAATTACTTTTAAACACAACAATTATTTTAACCCAAATTTGGTACCTATAGCATCAGTGCCTAATAAATATTGGTAAATCCATTTCTTGCTGAATCATTCTTTTAGCAATATCCAAAGGATCAATTTTTTTTTCAGTACTACGCTAAAAATAAAAACAAAATTATTTTTCTACACTTCTATTTCAATAAAAACCTTTTTACTTAAAATACGAATTAGTTTATCTATGCAAAAAAATTTATATAAAAATAGACTAACCATTTTTCTTGCAGCCTTTTATTTTAATTGAGTGTTTTAATGTGCTTCAAGGTAACCTAAATTAAAGTATATCTCAAAAAAATTGAACTGCAATTTAAAGCTATTAAACCGTCAACTAAATACTTTCACAGAAAGTAAATAAGTAAGTCTCACACATTTACTTTCTCCCACACACACAAAAAATGTTGAGTAAATGTGCATATATTTTTGTGGAAAATTTTATTTTATGCAAACAATAATTTCTTTAGTTTTTTTTTGTTTGTAGTTTATAAAACAAAATTCTTTGGGTAGAAAAACCAAAAAGATTAACTAAATTATCTACATTTTCCATTGTTTATTTATCTATCAATTTACTTATTCTTTAATTAATCAAAAGTGGAGAGAATAATTTAATAATACTATTCAAAATTTATTTCAAGAAGAACAAAACATGTTTTTATATAAATAATTATTATTTTATATAAATAATTATTATTTGACCAAATGGGTTTTACCATTTAAAAATATAATACATGTATAGTGATGTACAAATTGCAGATTTTTGACCAATACTGATTCAAATGTAAATGGGCAGAAAAAGAGTGATACTGACACAGATTAATGATTAAAAATTATGACCAACAATATTTTAGTATAGGTCAGGATCAAGATCAATTAAAACTTGCTCTTCTAGCCAAAGGCTATAAGAAGATAACTTTGACTTAAAACACCCTCTGCTTTGGTGCTCCCAGTTAAACTAAAGCTGGTGTTTTGATAAAAATTCACATTTTGGGCAGATGTTAGGATTTGATGACAGCCTTGTTGAAAATCTCCTTGGCAAAGACTTTACAGATAAGGAGAAAATTTAAGTTGCCCTCGCACCCCTTTGTCATCTAATAGACTAACAGATATTTAAAACTGTGTTAGATTGTTTCCTGCTAAGAATGAAAAAAACTGGATCTTCTTGACTCTATTCATGACTTTTTGTTTGTGTCTCCATGGTAGTAGCAGTGCAATTCTGCTGCTGTTGTTTAATGACAGTACAGCTCTAAAACTCAATTTAGTTGCTCTAAGGCTCCTGGTGTTAGGTTTATGAACTCTGTTTATAAACCTAATAAAACTAGTTTTAATTTTGTTTTATTTCATCTTTAGATATCAATGTTGAACACTACTATCCATTTGTTTACAAAGACTCCAATGCCTGGCCTAGGCATATAACTATATATCAATTCCCCTCTTTGCCATAAAATCAGGTTTAAATCTATTGACTGTTCCAATTTTTAAAAAATTTATTTGCTATTATTATCAAGTCTCTGAAAGTTTATTTGCCAAACTACTAATATTTATCTTGAGTTTAACAAAAATCCTGTTTAGTCTCTGATAATCAATACAGATTTTAGTCCTTTTGGGATATTATAATGGTATATTACAATACATAAGTTGTAATATACCATTATAATAGAAAAGCAAATTGTGAAAAGGTAGCCAATTAACCTGATGCCAATTAATCTGTACATCACTACGAACATATATTTAAGTTAATTTACATGTATGTTAACATAGTATGATGTATGAATAGACATATAAGCAAAAAGTGTAGGAAAAAAAATAAGACTAATTAAAAAAAAAGGAAGTGTAAATTTAATTTCAATATTTTCTAATTAGACAACTATAATTTGATAAAAACTATATTTGTTTACATTCCGAGGATTTTAAATACTACAATACAATTTTTATTTCAAAACTGAGAAAACATATAAGAACAAGACTCTTTCCATTACAAGTAAGTAGAAAAATATTAAAGGTCAACGCATTTAGAAGCATGGATTTATTTGCACAATGGATAGTAGAGTTTTTTAAAAAAAATTTTGCCTGCCATAAAGCAATGTTTACTAAACATGCGAATTAGCAGTGTAAGTTTAGCAAGATAATTTTCTATTACCTATGACACATAATTATAATAAGTCATTTTAATTAATAATCTATTTAATTAAAATGACAGTTTATTTTATTTTGATTATATTGATTGGATATTTGTTAAGTCATTGTAATTATTTTATTGGTTAATTATATATATTTTTGTCCGTTAATATTCTCTGTGAAGTCTTCAGTTTTTAATATTTATTTCAGAATTTTTTATTGCAAAAATAATCTTTTGAAAATGTAATGCAAATTACGGAACATGTCAAGATTAAAAAACATCGTGTTATTATGCTATGCGACACTCAAGATATATATATATATATATATATATATATATATATATATATATATATATATATATATATATATATATATACATATATATATATATATGACATATATATATATGTATATATATATATGTCATATATATATATATATATATATATATATATATATATATATATATCATATATATATATATGTATGTTTATATATATATATATATATATATATATATATATATATATATATATATATATATATATATATATATATATTTTTATGTATATATATATATATATATGTATTTATAAATATATATATACACATTTATGTATATATATATATATATATGTATTTATAAATATATATATACACATTTATATATATATATATATATATATACATATTATATATATATATATATATATATATATATATATATATATATATATATATATATATATATATATATATATGTATATATATTATATACATATATATATATATATATATATATATATATATATATATATATATATATATATATATATATATATATATATATATATATATATATATATATATATATATATATATATATATATATATATATATATATATATATATATATATATATATATATATATATATATATATATATATATATATATATATGTATGTATATATATCCTAAAATATAAAAATAAATGTAAATTAGTTAAATTAGCCTTAAAAAAGTAATTAAAAGTTCAAAATTATAAAAATTTTAATATTTCAACATACCAAGTTATCCAAGCAAAAAATTATAGAAATTTTATTTGGTTTATTTTGCCTTATTATTCAAACATTATGTTTTTTTTATTTTTATTTAATTATTTAGTTTTTTTTAAATGTCCCTCATGCGACCTTGACAACCGTAACATAAGGGTACAATGATCCCTCATGTTACGCAAGTTCCGTATCATGAGGGAGCGCCGTCCCGCATGTTACGCCATTTTTGTAACATGAGGGGCAAGTAAAAAAAAAAAGTAACATGAGGGGCAAAATGTAACACTAGGGTGGTAAATGTAACACCAGGGAACATAAAAAGGTAGCATGGGGGATATCACGACTACTACTACTACTACTACTACTTGCGACTTTACGAAATCAAAACACCGACTGCAATCACAACCTCTGAAGACAAAATGTTATAAGACAAAATGTGTGTATATATCTGAAGACAAAATCTGAAGACAAAATGTGTGTATATATATAAAAAGAAGACAAAATCTGAAGACAAAATCTGAAGACAAAATGTGTGTATATATATAAAAAAACACGCTTAGTTCACATATTTATTGAAGAGCGCAATTGCACACATATTGTTGGGTTTGGATTAAATTTTCATCAGCGATGTCTTACAACGTTGTTCCGACGTCGTTTTAAGGACATTGGATTGACGTCGGAAGACGTCAAAAGACATCGGAGTACGTTAATATTATGACGTTGCCCGACGTCTTTTTATCGACGTTGGATCGATGTCAGTACTGCAACGTTTTTTGGACGTCTTTTTAAAGATGTCGGAACAACGTCAAAATACATCGAAACGACGTCAGGGGATGTTGAGATAAAGACATCGCATGACGTCATTTTACTGACATCGGAACAACGTCGGAATAGGTCTTTTGACATCGCTGATGAAAATCGTACGTAAATCCGACGTCAGATTGACGTCGGGTGCCCACTGGGTAAGCTTTTAAAATGATATAAATAATATAATGGCATGGTCATTTATTTGGCTCACAAATTTAATTATGAAAAATGCAAAGTTATGCATATTGGGAAAAAAAATCCAAA